ACACGTCTACATGACAATATTCAGATATAGTGATAGCGCCACCTACTGGCAACAGGAAGTAAGCGCTGCATGGCAACTTTGATCTGATTTACATGAAATTTTCATGTTGTGGTCCGCATATGTTACACTTGCACGTGACGCAGCTGCAGCAAACCCCGAGTTGCGTCAAGTGCGAGGGCCCGTTCATTGCTGCTTGCAGCTTTAATTTAATTTTAATTTTAAATACACTCATCTGTGTTTAATATCTACACTAAACAATATGTACGTTAAATTGTGCTCAGCAAGACTGATTCACTTCTCATAACATTCTTATGTGGGAAACACATTATATATTTATATATAGAGAAAATTCAACGCGCTCTTTTCTTGTTTTCAACAGCTGCCATCACTACAGAAGCATTCAGTCTCCAGTTCACAGGGTAACTGGTTAAACAGCTGCAGGGCTGTTGTCTTACAAAAGCCAAAACAAACTTTTAAATCTAAATTGAGTGAAAATACACTAATTAAATTGTTTATCATGCCTAAAATTTGTTCAGAAACAAGATTTTGTTGAACCCCTCCTACTCCTGCTTAAAACCCGTTGGCTCATAGAACTGGGGCCTCAGGAAGGAGGACTGCTGTTGGACCCTTCTTGTTTGGTTTGTTCCATCTGGGGTACTGTAGAAACACTGCAGTTCAGTTCATGGTGGTTTTACAACAGGTGAGCTATAGGACCCAAATGCAAGACATCAGACACAGTCTTTACTTGCCAAAATGGGTTGGTACACAGAAGTCCAGGAAACACAGTAAACAAATCCAAACAGGCAGAGTCAGACCAGTGACAAGGAACGAGGAGCAGGTCTCGGGCGGGCTGCCGACAAGTAACAAAGAGCAGGTGTAAGCCAGACTGCTGACAGGGAGCCAGGACCAGGTGTTGGCCAGGCAGCTGAGTTTCTGGGGCACTGGGCAACTGAGTTTGCCAAAGGCGTTGGGAGCCACGACGATCATGTCTCCTTCTGTGGCCTCTACGGGACAACATGAAAATGGCCAGGCGAGTTTCCTCAAAAGGTGACCTCTGAATGTCAGTGTGACTCCTCAAACAGTTCATTGCCTCATGCATTGCCTCAGGTGAATCATGAAAAGGTGGCTAGCAGGCCGATTCTGGAGGGTATATGTCACCTCAGGCAAATCCAAACAGGCCTGGCTGTCACCTGATCTAAGAGCTGATTTGCAAACACCATGTTACCCCGATTTTCTGTGTGATTTTAAAATTTCATTCTAGATTTGAAAGCTGTTTGTGTAATATAGGTTTAATCTGTTATAACACATATTTTGAGAGGTTGATAATATTAATAAAGTTTATTTATAGGTCTGAATGTGGTCTAAAAACTACAGGCAGCCTACAGACGATCCCATAGGATGCAAACATTTCTGTGACTTTCTGTTTATTCTTTGAAGGCTGCTAGGAACAGTCTGAGTGACAGCAGCTTTTTGTCACCTCCTCCTCCTGCTGCTGC